CCCCCCCCCTTTCTCTTCCCTCTCCCTCTTTCTCTGCTCTCTCTCCTTCCCCCACTCCCTTTCTCTCTCCCTCCCTCTCTCCCACCTCCATCTCTCTCTATCTCTCTCTCTCTCCTTATCTCTTCCTCTCTCCCTCTTTCTCTCCTCCCTCTCTCCGTCTCTCTCCCCTCTGTCATGTGTACCAGACAGTTCTGCAAAGCAAGAATATACAGTATTTGCAGCGTTGACACCCTCCCTCTTTCTCTTCCCTCTCCCTCTTTCTCTCCTCTCTCTCCTTCCCCCTCTCCCTTTCTCCCTCCCTCCCTCTCTCCCCCCTCCCTCTCTCTCCCCTTATCTCTTCCTCTCTCCCTCTTTCTCTCTTCCCTCTCTCCGTTTCTCTCCTCCTTCTCTCTTTCTCTCCCTCTCCTCCCTCTCCCTTTCTCTCTCGCCTCCCTCTCCCTTTCTCTCTGCCTCTCCCTCTCTCTTCTTCTCCTCCTCCCTCTCCCCCTTTCTCCCTCCCTCCCTCTCCTCTCCCTCTCCTTCTCTCCCCTTCATCTCTCTCTCTCTGTATCTCTCTCCCCTTATCTCTTCCTCTCTCCCTTTCTCTCCCTCTTCCCTTCTCTCCTGCTCTCCCTCTTTCTGCCTCCTTCTCTCCCTCCCTCTTCTTCTCCCTCGCTCTCTCTTCCTCCTTCTCTCCATTCTCTCCTTCTCTCTCCCTCCGTCTCTATCTCTCTTCCTCTCTCTGGAAGAGCACTGGGGCTGGAGGTGGGGGGGGCTACAGGGTCTCCCCACATCCTCCTGCTGACTCGCCCACACTTTTCCCCCTGGTTGGCAGGAACTGCCATCCTTCCGGAATCCTTGGGGCAGGAGGGGGCAGACGTTGTCCGGCAAAACTGCCCCCCCCCCATCATCTCCGGCAACTTGACCCCCCTGTCCGTCTCTTTCTGCTCTCCCCACCCCCGCAGGGGCGTGACGGAAGGGGTGACGCTGCTGCTGCTGGCCATCCAGACGGGCCTCCTGGGCCTGCAGCTCCTCCAGAGAACCTACCTGCTCACCATCATCCTCTTCATCGTGGCCACCTCCACGTTGCAGTCCATGAGCGACATCGCCGAGCCCTTTCTCTTGGCGCTGGGGGCGTCCCAGAGCAGGTGAGGGGGGGCTTTTCCCTCCGCTGGGGAGGAGGGGCCGTTATCTACGAGTGGTCCTCAACTTACGACCGTTTAGAATTACAACCCGAAGGCAGTACGACTGTTCTTTTAGTGACCCCGTTCGAAATTACAACGGCACCGGGTGAAAAATGGGACTCGGGACCACTTTTTCACCCTTAACGACCGTTGAGGCATCTCACCCCCACCCCCCGGTCAGGTGTTCAAAATTGGAACGCTTGGCGATTCACACTTACGACGGTCGGTCGCGGTGTCCTGGAGTCAAGTGATTTCCCCCTTTTGTGACTTTCTGCCGAGTCAATGGGGGAAGCGAGAGTCGCTGAACGACTGGGCCAGGGAAGGTTGTAACGGCTGTCTCGCTTAGCGACATAAAGTTTGGGCTCAGTTGCGGCCGTAAGTTGAGGATTGCTTGTATCTGCTGGGACCCCCGCCCCTTCACTCCTTGAGGGCCATCTAGCCCCAGCGTGGTCCCTCCTGGGGTGCAGAGTTCACAAGGGACCCAAGTTTGGGGGGGGGCTCTTCATCCATGGGTCTATCCACGCCCCCCCCCCCTTGTTTTTTCCCTTCTTGCAGGAATTTCTGGAAACACGTCCGTGGGGTGAGCCTCTGCCTGTTTCTCTTGGGGGCTCCCGTCTTCATGGCCTACAAGATCGCCCACTTCTTCCAGCTGGACTTCTGGCTACTGATCCTCATCTCCAGCTGCCTGTTGACCTCCCTGCAGGTACAGCTCAGCATTCCCCA